CTGTGGGTTTTTTGTTTGTTTGTTTTTTGGAGTGGGGATGTTTGTCAAGTTAACTTTCAGCAGATTGTACTCTCCGCATGACTTTTATTGCGGGAACAGGCAGAGAAACAAAGGAGAGGGAGGAATGGGTAGGTCATCCCCACACTTTTGGTCAGCAGCATAATTTTAAAATGACTGGGTAACCTTTGCATAGGGATGCTGCCTGTCGTTAGGCCTGTGCTGAGGGATATAACCCGGAGGTACGAATTTTGTGGTGAGGACCCAGGCTTATTGGTGGGTGCCACCTTTAGGTCCTGCCTTTGGTGATGTGTGGAGCTCTGTAGATGCAGGCAGTCCCGTATGGTCTAGGAGTAGCAACACATACCTCTGTGAACTTGCTGCAGCACACAAGTGAAAAACTCTGCTTTTGATGTTACATGTAAGATTTGCAGTCATTCCTGCACGAATCTGATTTTCTCTTGAAACAGCCTGGGACACTGCTACAGCTTAATGTCATCTGTGTTCTCTCTTTCCTGGCTATAGCTTTTATACCACGGGTCTAAGTGCTTTCTTACTGGAGTTTGGGAAGTGGGGGAATTAGGACAACCATGGGTGAATATTCTGATAGTCCTTCTGGACTGAACATTTATTTCAGGGTTCTCTGCAACTGGTGGTTCTGAGGGTTGGGAGGGAATGTAACTCTCTGTTGCTTACAGTTGCTGGGGGAATTCACAAATAAAAAAAACCCAAAAACTAAAAAAGGGGTAGTTGGGAAGTTACAAAAAATAGAACAAAATACCCAACTCGTGAGGCAGACAGTTCCTTGCTGTAAGATAATCAGTAAGGACTTTTCCACCCAGCTTCAGCAGGTGGAACATAAGCATCTTAATGGTGATATGGGAGCCTAACTGCTGCTTGTATAGGCCTAATATGTTGTATATATGCATTTTAAATAGGTACTTGAGACCGAAAAAGATGATAGTGATACCATTAAAAATAAAAAGGGAATTAGCTTACAGAAATTCTCTGGAATAACTGAGCCTTACATCAGCTCCAAGAAAGGTAGTGAAGAAAATCAAATCAGGTAGACAAATATAGTAATGAAGTATTTTTTGCTGATAAATGGAATATTGAATTCCACTTAGTCTGAACGGAACACGTCGATACCTTTAGCCTGCTTAAATGCTTAAAGAGTCAGAATTATTCAGGTGAATTTTAAAACTTGAGTATAACATACTAGGTTGTATGAGTGACCTTGTTACACTGTGAGTGAAGGACTGTGCCTTGTCTTGAGTAGGCTGCAATCCAAGCTCTGCATTCAGAGAAAGGATTCAGTTGGCATGGAGTTCCAGGTTATATGCATTAGCTGAGTGGTTGTCAAACACGAGAAAATTTGAAATGTTTTCGTGTACTGCAAGCCAGGCTAAGGTTCATGGCTTGCTGTTTGCCGCAGGCCAAACCCATGCACCCATTCTGTTGTCACAGTTCAGCTGACGTGCAATAGGCAGAACGCTTGACCATGGCTCTAAGTCCTCGGTGGGACGAGAAGGGTGTGCAGGCAAAGGTATCTGGCTGCTGGAGAAGTGAGAATAGAAGATGATGTAGACAAGATGAGGCAGTGGGTTTGCAGAAGAGGCTTTGCTCACACAATATTAGCTTCTCTTTATCAGTAATGCATTCATTATGTGATTTGTTTGAAGGATAGAACACAAACACGTGGCATAAGAAGGAATTTGGAGTGGGTTGAAGGAGATGCAGGAGCAGGTAGTCTGATGGTTTCTGTAGAAGCTACTGGAGGCCTTAGTGCAGCAACATGTTGTGTGAACTTTATCTTGGAAAAATACAGTACAATAAGGAAAGAGGGAGAAAGCAGAGAAATATTATTCTTATTTCTAGCCTTCCAAAAAAAGTGTATGAGAAAGTGTTTGGCTGTTACTTCTCCCTCTTTTCTCACAGCAGAGAAGTTAACTGCTGTGGAATGGGAAATCTCTCTCTGTATAAAACGAAGTAGAAAAGAGGGGGAAGGGTTCCTTGGAAATTTAGAAAACATATGATGACACATGCTTTCTTTAGAAGCTCAAAGATATGTGGTGGAAACCTTATGCAACACTTCTGTGTAATGTATAATTTCCTTGAAAAAAGGAAGCTGACCACATTGAGTAGGAGTTTTCTTCATGTTTTCACTAGAGTAGTGAAGCAGGGAAGTAAAAGTGTCCAATCCCTGGTTTTAGACAGGAGGAGATGATGGTTATCCTGAAAGGATAAACTTTTCCTGTCTTGCTTCTGGGAGCCCTGAGTGTCCTTGGGCAAGAGCTCTTGAGCTCCTTGCTGCCAAGCCTTTGTTTCACCAGCCAGCAAGAAGAGAGTGTGCTGAACAGGGCAGTGCTCCCCCAAGCCAAGCAGAAGCTGTGGAGGGAAAATGTGTTTTCTTTTCAGCTCTGCTTTCCGCCAGTCTCATTTCTGGGCTTGAAGAAGAAACAATCTTACCCTCATAACTCCAGCCTAGCATTTATCACTAACTGAAAGAGAGCAAAGATGTGGAGAGTCTACATACCTCAACAACACCCAGTCTTAGAACATTATTAGTGGTTGGCTGAGGAATGGTGGCTGTTCTTGCCCATGTTCTTAGTCCCCAGAAAATGGCTGCTTTCCTCCCAGAAGAGAGTTGCATTACCTTGCTCTTGTCAACAGCTGCTGTGGCTTGGCTTATGCATGCTGACATGAAGCCACCACAGCTTGGCTGTGTCTTTGAGCTGAAGTTACTGAGAGGTAGAATTTCACAGTGGGTAGAGCGGGGCATTTTTCTCCATGCTAGGAATACTATCGGTCCCTAGGCAGAGAGAGATGACTTCTTGAGGAAAATGCACTCCTAGAAATCGTTATTATGAAACAAAAGTCTCTAACAAGACTCCAAGCTTAATCAGATGAAAACAGTTTCATCTTGCCCAGCATCCTGCCTTCTTGTGGTCTCCAAACACAAATGTTGGAGCTCTTGGGTTCTTCTCTTTTCTGGAAACTGCTAATTGAGGTGGGTGGAGAGAGATGCTCATAGTGGAGCAGTGGGAGCAAGTGAGATATTTAAATCTGTCTGAACAGGATAGAAGAGAGAGAAAGGCGGGTGGGTTGTGTTGAAAAGATGGAGGAGTGATAGCTGAGCCTTGTTTAACCCTGTTTACTTTTCCAGTTCCTGTGCCTGGAAAAGGCCACAGCATAAGTGCATACAACAAGAAATAGAAACTGTAATGGCATGAGAAGAGTACTTACATGGGTAAATTGCAAACTAATTGGATAGTCCATGAGAAGTAAGGCATGGAGAAGATCTTCTGTGTGTGCAGTTCTGTACCCAAGCAGAGAGAAGTATGTTTCCCATTGCTTGCCTTCAGTCTCCTGTCTGAGAAAGTCTTTGTTTCTATGTCCTAGAAGAACAGGACACTTAGTATGCTGGCGAGCACTGTTCTTTGCTGATGGGATACCTAGTCTTCTTAATGACTGGCCTGGCTGACTTCCTGACTGCTTTCATAAGGAAAGGAGATAGGATGTGGAGCAAGATGGGCTATAGTTTGTTTTCTGGACTCATGTACAGTGAAGTGAAGTGACTTCTTCCTTTGATGTGATAAAGCTGTAGTATCCGCATTGATTTATGAACAGTAGTAAGTTTTCACACAATAATGACATGAGAAGCAAGGGAAGCAGAGAATGATATAGGGATTGGTGGGTTCTTGATTTGATGCCATTTAGGAACTGAAAAAAAAAATCAAAACCAAAACAAACCCAAAATAGTAGCTGTCACTTGGGTCCACTTGGATTGAGGAGTAGGCTTCTGAAATACTTCTCTTTCACCATGGACAGTTACTGTTTGAAGGGAAATTTTCCGTGGTGCATTTTGGGAATCTTGCCTTAATATGAGACCTCATTTATATCTTAATCATGCCCTTCTTAGCAGTAAAAGTAACCAGAAGTAAAAAGCAACCAGCTACCATGGAGCAGAATCAAGTCCTTAATGTAAGTGTAACTTGAACTCAGTATTAACATGTTTTTGTCTACATCCACATACGTATCTGCCATGGCAATAGACTTGTTATTTTTTTTTTAGAGCCTTTCAGAGTGATTTGGAAGTAGGAGGTGATTGAAGCAGGGACACATAGATGCTAATACTTTACAGTATCCCTTCCCCATGGCAGAATTTGGTCTCATCTGTTAGATCAGTAGATCTTTTTTTTTCTTTTTGCACATGTAGCTGTTTTTAATAAAAACTAGGGAAAATGTCTTATCCCTCTTCTTTTTTTGTTGTTTTTTTTTTTCTTATTTATATTGAATACCTTGGTCTTTTTTATCAGAATATGATTGATTCAAAACTGATAGCAGTTAAGGTTTCTGAACAGCTCCCATTTCTTTCTTGCAGCTCTGCTAGATCTCAGGGATTGGGATGCTATTTCACATACACTGGTTGTGAAATAAACTTGCTTAAGTGACATTTCCAGAGGAAATCCCTAGTATCCCCATGGTTTTCAGAGCAGGTGCTTTGAACCGAGTAGCAATTTTGTGTCAGAAGTGTGCTTTTTGATAACTCTGTAAATATTAGTGCTGGAAAAATTGCCATTTATTTGCTCAGCAGGAGCTTCAGTCTGGGCATTCTGCAACAAGATGCTGAGATAGATTTTGCTGGTGACAACAATTCTTCGTTTCATCTTTTTCTCCAGACCACGGACAGGAGGCCTAATTCAAGTGAAGAGGGGGAAGGTACTGAGGATAGAGGAGTTTAGGATGGGGAAGAAGATCAGGACAAGTATTCTACCCGGGTCCAGGATGTGAAAATTTGATCCCTTTGTGGTGCCTGTCACATGATTGTGCAGACAGGCTGGGTTTGGGTAGTTCTTAACTGACACATACCTTACTTAGCAGCATTGTGATGTGCTTCTAACCTATATCTGAATGTATCTGATAGTGTGTACAGCCTTAGTGAAGCCATAGTTTATAAAAAATCACGAAAGTAACTTTTTTCTTTTTTTTTTCCCCTGTAGCATGCATCCGCTGTGAGGACGTGTTTGGCATCTTGGGAGAAAATTTTACTTTTCCAGTAAAGATAAAGAATAAAGTGGAAATTATTTGGACGAAAAACAAGGATAAAGTGGCTGAATGGGAAGGGCAAGCCAAACCGACATACTTTACTTCTCTCCAGAACAGAGGCTTGCTTAACAAGGAGAATGGGTGCTTGGCTATATTTAACTTGGAAAACAGTGATGCTGGCACATATGTGTTAGACTACTTGGATTCTGCGAAAAATAGATATGTCTTAACCTTCATACTTGTTGTGTTAGGTAAGTAGTGGAAGAACTGCATAAGGAATTTGTACCACTTTATTCACTTTAAGAAGGCAAGAAAGGGGATTGTTTATTGGTCAGGGAAGCAAACAGAAACAGAGGGGGGGCTGTTTTTTGGCTCTATTGTTAAGTTGCTTAGGCACTTTAAACAAATTTTCAAAGGTGGCATCTAATTTGTGTGCCCGTCATTACTTACCTTGGATGACTTCTGGAACGTGTGTAGATGGCACACTGTGTACTTTCAGGTAGATAACCAAACTCTTTGAGCAAGCTGACCAAGTTATCCCTGGCAGTATGCATCTACTAAAGATGCTCCTGCAGACATATTATACATGCTTGAATATCTGTGGCATGACCCTGTGCAGATCTACGCAGTTTCACTAGTAGTCTTTGGGAGATATATTTGACCAGTGTGTATATTAGTCCTGTTGACAATGAACCATGAGGAGTCTCAGACTAGACACTGAAGAACCCCAAACAGGGCCACTTCTAGAAATATGTTTCTCTCGTGTGCACATGCATGTGAGCACACATGCACACCTTACACATCCACTTCTGTCTATGCACTCTCCTGCTGCTTTTGCTGCTCCAGCCCTTGTCCTGTGTTAAAATTCAAGGCAGTTTAGAACCAAAGTAATACAGAATGTTTTCTCTCCTTCTAGATCCTCCTTCAGAACCTGAATTAAGTTGCAACATCAGTGGTGATAACCTTGTGTTAAAATGTAGAGCAGATTTCCAGAAGCCTCTGAATTACACTTGGAACTTCAGTAGCACACCAGTCACTCATCAGACCCAGGAAGTTGTCATCCCTCAGCAGCATGTTGATGCTTCTGAGACAGCTTCATGTTCCATTAAATTCTCTCAAACGGAAAAGACCTCTGAAATCTCTTTGACTCAATGCTTTCCAGATAAAAAAGGTAATGAATGGGTCATGTTGTATATGCAAGTCTGAGAGGCTAGGTTGGGAAGCAGCATTGACTTTGACTATAAGATTTCTACTGACTTCTTAGGAAGTTGAATTTAAAGAGTAAAAAGCATCAGAAGTAATTTGTCTGCTAAAAGTGTGTTAAGGATAGGTGAAAAGTATGAGGTTGACAGTTTGATTCTCCCCTGGAAAGGTACTTTTTGCAGGATTCTCAACAGAATAAAACCTTCAACTGTGACTTGTAATGAATAATAATAAAGAGGGATGCACACTTAGAAGATTGCTTCTGAACCTTCTGGCCTTGTGTAATTAATGCTAATGACTAAGTTATCCTTGGGACAGCAATGTGCCCTGGTGGCCAAGGAGGCCAATGGTATCCTGGGGTGCATTAAGAAGAGTGTCACTGGCAGGTTCAGAGAGGTTATCCTCCCCCTCTACTCTGCGCTGGTGAGGCCTCATCTGGAGTATTGTGTCCAGTTCTGGGCTCCCCGGTTCAAGAGAGACAGGGGACTTTTGGAGAGAGTCCAACAGAGGGCTACGAGGATGATTAAGGGACTGGAACATCTCTCGTATGAGGAAAGGCTGAGAGACCTGGTGCTGTTTAGTCTGGAGAAGAGAAGGCTGAGAGGGGACCTTATCAATATCTATAAATATCTGAAGGGTGGCTGTCAGGAGGATGGAGCCAGTCTCTTTTCAGTAGTGCCCAGTGATAGGATGAGGGACAATGGGCATAAACTGCAGCACAGGAAGTTCCACCTCAGCATGAGGAAAAACGTCTTTACTGTGAGGGTGATGGAGCACTGGCACAGGCTGCCCAGAGAGGTTGTGGAGTCTCCCTCTCTGGAGACCTTCAAAACCTGACTGGGCACATTCCTGTGCAACCTGACCTAGGTGATCCTGCTTTGGCAGGGGTGTTGGACCAGATAATCTTCAGAGGTCCCTTCCAACCCCTACCCTTCTGTGATTCTGTGACTATTGTACTCTTTGTACTGCTTTCCATGAACTGGAATGAAAACTATTGAGTAATTTCAAGTGAGTCATCTAGCAACCATTAGATAATAATTTCTCACCTAGCAGGTACATGAGTCAATAAGCAAACTTCTTTTCCTCCTTCACAGACAGATATAAAAAGGAGAAAAGAGAGTTTTCCTGCTGTTGCTTATTGCTTTGGGACAGCCAAGCTTCTGGTCAGCTTGAGGCTTGCCTTTTTTTTTTTTTTTTTTTTTTAATAGAACACATTTGGAATCATCTGGTGTGTAGGGTGTGTAAGGCAGTCCCTAACTGACAAAATTTCCCACTTCTGTGCAAAAGTAATTTTCATGGTTTACCGGTCTAGAATTCTTCCTCCTTCGCTGGAATTGTGTGTTAAAGACTTGTAGAAATGAGACATGTGGTGGGTTGACCTTGGCTGGCTCCCAGGTGCCCATCACACTGCTCTGCCACTCCCCTCTCCTCAACAAGATGGAGGAGAAAATATGACAAAAACCTCGTGGGTTGAGGTACGGACAGGGAGATCACTTGGCCATTACCATTACAAAACAGACTAGACTTGGGGAAAATTAATTTAATTTATTGCCAATCAAAATCGGAGTAGGATAACAAGAAACAAGAACAAATTTAAAACACCTTACCCCCACCCCTCTCTTCTTCCTAGACTCAACTTCACTCCTGATTTCTCTGCCTCCTCCCTCTGAGCGGTGCAGGGGTTGGGGAATGAGGGTTGTGGTCAGCTCATTACGTATTGTCTCTGCTGCTGCTTCCTCCTCATGCTCTTCCCCTGCTCCAGCATGGGCTTCCACCCAGGGGAGACAGTCCTCTGCGAAATTCTTCAGCATGGTCCTTCCCACAAGCTGCAGTTCTTCACAAACTGCTCCAGCCTGGGTCCCTTCCGCAGGGTGCCATCCTTCAGGAACAGACTAGTCCATGGGGTCACAAGTCCTGCCAGAAAACCTGCTCCACCCTGGGCTCATGTCTGTCCATGGGTTCACAGGTCCTGCCAGGACCCTGCTCCAGCACAGTCTTCCCATGGGGTCACAGCCTCCTTCAGGCATCCCCCTGCTCCGGCGTGGGGTCCTCCCTGGGCTGCAGGTGGAGATCTGCCCCAGCATGGAGCTCCATGGGCTGCAGGGGCACAACCGGCCTCACCACAGTCTTCACCACGGGCTGCAGGGGAGCCTCTGCTCCGGCGCCTGGAGCCCCTCCTGTCCCGCCTCCTGCTCTGACCTGGGGTCTGCAGGGCTGTTGCTCTCACGTATTCTCACTCCTCTCTCCCAACTGCTGCACAGCAGTTTTTACCCTTTCTTAAATATGTCATTGCAGAGGTGCTACCACTGTTGCTAATGGGCTCAGCTTTGGCCAGTGGTGGGTCCGACTTGGAGCCGACTGGCACTGGCTCTTTCTGACATGGCGGCAGCTTCTTGGCCTCTTCTCATAGAAGCCACCCCTGCCGCCTCCCCACTACTGAAACCTTGCCATGCAGACCCAATACAAGATACTTGCTGAAATGTCATTTGGTTGAGATTCGGCTCGGCCTTTCATAGGCCAAAAATGGAATAGACATCGCCTTGCAAGCGGTGACGTGCCTCCACTGAACGAAGGTACTTACATGTAGCTTTCCTGCAGCTGCCTTAGGGTGTTGCTAGTAACTGACTCTGGAGCATTCATTTTTTGAGGTTACCTTTTCAAAAACAAATAGCTGTCAAACATACTCAGCATTGTATTTCTACTGAAGTAGTGTATCACACAGTTGCTTTTTAACTAACCAATCATTATTGATTTTATTTTTTTAAAGGAGACAGCTATCACAAAAGGAGCAGAGGTTGTCTTATTGCAGCTTTTGTTATCTCAATTCTAGCTGTAGGAATAGTAGGATTCCTATGCAAAAGAGGTATGTATGGTAAGCATTTCCTATTTGAGCTTAACATGCTTCAAGATTATGCTGATATAAGGTTCTGTAGAATTTATGAAAGTTTCTGACCATAGTATGTATTGTAAACACTGTAGTAGAAACAAATACAACTTAGGCAAAGGCTAATAGATTTGAAGGAAATAATATACTGAAGTTTCTTGCACTCAGACACTGGGCTCTGCGTACTGGGAAACACTGTAGTCTGTACATTTCTCTTTCAGACTGGTTCATTTATTGTGTGTTTCTATTTACCAGGTATCTATGGCCTCTGGTTCCTACCTGAGCATGCTTTCACTGCCTTTTTTGAGAGCATCATAAAGCTGCCCTCAAGATCAGATTTGTTGTTGGGACAGGCTCATACCAGGGACTGTTGAATACCTTATGCTGAGTCTAATCTGACAACTCGGTGTCCTCAGCTGATGCATAGGGACTCCTGTGCCTCCTGTCAGCCTGTAATGCCATCATCTTGGACTTCTAGATTTGTTTCTTGATCCATCCCTATACTGAATTTGAGTATCTTACCTGAATAAGACAGCTTATTCAGAAACGGTAGTTGTAAGCTATCACTGTGTATCTTTTGCTGCCACTTAGGTTAATATGTCAGGTTGTATTCTGGCTTGAAAAAGAGGTGTACACCATCTCTCTTTCCCAAGAGAAGGAATACATTGTTTCATCCTAAGAGTGCTCTGCATGGAAAATTCTTGTTGGCTTCCAGGTGGGGTCACCACTTGGGGGTGGCTGCAGGGTGAAGAGCATGGGATGCATCTCCTATCTGGGAAGGACTAATTGATCATACTCTGGCGGGAGGCTCTGATCAGAGTATACATAGATGTATATTGCATGTGGACCTTATGCTTTCCTGATCATTCTCTATTTAGTTTCCGTTGGCATGGAATCATAAAATAAATTAAGTGGGAAGGAATCTCTGGAGGTTTCATCCAGAGGACCAACTTCAAAGCTAGATCAGGTTGCGCAGGGCCTTGTCCAGTCAAACTTTGAATAAGTCCAAGGATGGAAATTCCCCAGCCTCTTTCAGCATGTATTCAAGCACTGATTCACCCTTGTGGGGAAGAATATTTTCCTTATTTCTGTTAGGGATTTCCCTTTTGCAACTTGAAGCCATTGCCTTCTGTCTTTTTGTTCTGTACTTCTGAGAGGAGTTTCCTTTGTTTTCTAGGTAAGTTAAGTTAGTTGTAGACTGTAATTAGCCATCCCCTTAGCCTTCTGTTTCTTCAGGCTGAACAAACCCAATTCTATCAGCACCTCCTTGCACAGCTCCTGTCCCCTAAACATCTTGGTGGACTAGCTGGACTACCTTCAGAGTGTCAGTGTTTTTTCATGAATTGGGAGCCTAAAACTAGACACAGTACTCGACATTTGGTGTCACAAATACTGAATAGAAGGGAAGAATTATTTCTGTTGATGGGCTGACTACAATTCTGCTAACACTGCCCAGTATCTGGTAGGCTTTTACTGCAAGGGCACATTTCTGACTAATGTTCAATTTGTGGTCCACCAGGGCTTCCAGGTCCTTTTCTACAGAGCTGGTTTCTAGCCAGGCAAAGCTCAGCCTGTGCTGCTCAATGGGGTGATTTCAAGAGGTGCAGGAATTTATGTTTGCCTTTGAACATTACATCTTTGCCAGCACATTCCTCCAGGATGTTGAAGTCCCTCTGAGTGGCAATCCTGCCTTACAGCATATCCCCTGCTCTCCCCAGTCTGATGTCATCTGCAAACTTCCTGAGGGTACCTTCTGTGCCTTTGTCCACGTTGGTGATGTTGAACAACACTATGCTTGTTATCAACACAGGAAGAATGTCACTGATTACTGGCCATTAGTTAGACTCAATTCAGCTGCTTCCCTTGGAACAGCGAAGATTTGCCCATGCTAGAAAATAAACTTGTTATACCGTGGTAGGATAAGCACTACACAGATATAATCAAACAGAAGATGTGATTTGCTGATTTAAGTACAAGACTCAGAATCATAAATTGCTAAGCTCTGCTTTAGATTTGGTTAGATGTGTTCTGACTTCTTGTTGTTGCAGGAGGCCCATTTTGTTGATCTCTCACTGATTGTCTTTGCCCCAGAAATGATATTTCACTCTTTCTTCTTTCCCCAAGTCAAGTATTCAGTTGCATGTCCTAAGTGAATTTTTTCATTTTGGTTGTGGGGTGATGGGCAGTAGGGGCGATGGAATGGATGGAGGCTGTCAACTAGTTTCCAAAAGCACAAAACTTTATTTCTCAGTAATTTCTCCAGGTATTACATTTGTTTTGGTGCAGGTAGAACTAAACTTGGAACAGGAAGAGCTGCTCAGAAGAACAGTCCGGTGCATGGCTCAGGTAAGACAACTAGAGTGTCACAAATGTGTGAAAATCAGACTATTGCTGTAATTTGGCTAGTCTTGTAAATGTTTTCTCTGTGGCAATATAGTCTTTATTGGAGAGGTAAAGGAGTAAGTTTTCTTTCAGGCCTTAGTTGTTTTACAGAGTGTAGTTATTTTTTCCAGGTCACTAACACATACTTTCTAAAATAAATAAATTTTGTTATTTTATTTGTTTTGTTATTTGTTATAGGAGAGCATCAGCTACTTTGCTCTGTGGACAGCCAAGAACAGCCTAACTCAGACAGAGGTAAGAAACCTGCATTGGGGTATAAATGTTTCTAAACATCTGCTGTTGGTTGGAGCAAGGAGTCTGAACTGCTCTTTCCTTTTTTGCAGGGTCTAAGCTTTTGAGTTAGTTTTCAGTGTGTGCACATGTGGCCTCAAGGTCTCAGTTGAGGTCCAATGTTGGATAATCATAGGGAGCTGCACTTAGTGGATGTGTTAATGGGGCTAGAAGAATTACTGACAGTGAATGGCCTGAGATTTGCCTGGTCAGCAGCTCTCTTTTGGAGGTGAATTCCACTTCTGACGATGACAAAGGTGGCCTGGCCTCAGGATGAGGGCTGGAAAAGCGCACACTATAGGGCAATCTGTCTGTTGGAGAACTTACTCTTTACATTTTGGTTAGGGCTGGTTTATGTGCTGAAATGAGGTTAATATTTCTTCTATCTCTTTTCATCTTACCTGCCTGTCCCATTTATATAAACTTCTTTCAGAAATTTGACTGATTATTTTTCTAAACCCAGAATTCATATTGAGTGCTTAGGGCTGGGCACAAATGTAATACATTGCTTATTCCCAGTGTCTCTGTGGAAGTTTCTTGCTGGCCTATCTTGGAAATTGGGCAGCTGGCCTTTCTCTCTGTGCATTGAATTTGACTTGGAAAGCTGGTGGTTCCAGTGGGTGGGCTTGATGCTGTGCATGTAGCAGTAGATTTAATGATGACCATTGAAGGTATTATCACATCAGACTGGCAGGAGTTTGCTGTTAGTTTACCTTGGTTATATCTTGAAAATCCATCCCAGGACTGGTGAAGACAGGCATGTTGCTAGTCTGGTGTGCAGACTTCTGGACCTTGCTTTTGGTGCTTGCTTACATCCTGTGGTTCAAGTTGTAATTGTCTCCTTACCCCTTTCTGTTGTTTCAGGAAAAAATCTGTTAGCGGCACATTTTGATTCACTCAGTCCATTTTGCAGGCCTGTCTTCTCCTTATAAGAGTCAAGATGAGGGAAGGAGGCCATAAGTG